AAGACACAAAGAAATGGCAAAACATTCCATGTTTATGGATTGGAAGAACAAATATTGTGAAAAAGTCTATGCTACCTGGAGCAATCTACACATTCAATGCAATCTGTATCAAAACACCATCAACTTTTTTCACAGAGCTGGAACAAATAGTCCTAAGATTTGTAAGGAACCAGAAAAGACCCCGAATAGCCAAAGGAATGCTGAAAAAGAAAACCAAAACTGGTAGCATCACAATTCCGGACTTCAAGCTCTATTACAAAGCTGTAATCATCAAGGCAGTATGGTACTGGCAAAAAAATGGACACATAGACCAATGGAACAGAATAGAAAACCCAGAAATGGACCCTAAACTCCACGGTCAACTAATATTTGAGAAAGAAGGAAAGAATATCTAATGGAAAAAAGACAGTCTCTTCAACAAATGGTGTTGGGAAAATTGGACAGCTGCATGCAGAAGAAAGAAACTTGACCATTTCCTCACACCACACACAAAAATAGTCTCAAAATGGATGAAAGACCTAAATGTGAGACAGGACTCCATCAAAATCCTAGAGGAAAACATAGGCAGCAACCTCTTTGACCTTGGCCGCAGCAACTTCTTGCTAGATACATCTCCAAAGGCAAGGGAAACAAAGGCAAAAATGAACCATCGGGACTTCATCAAGATAAAAATCTTTTGCACAGCAAAGGAAGCAGTCGACAAAACCAAAAGACAATCAACAAAATGGGAGAGGATATTTACAAATGACATACCAGATAAAGGGCTAGTATCCAAAATCTATAAAGAACTTCTCAAACTCAACACCCAAGGAAAATATAATCCAATCAAGAAATGGGCAGAAGACATGAATAGACATTTCTCCAAATAAGGCATACAAATGGCGAACAGACATATGAAAAAGTACTCAACATCACTTGGCATCAGGGAAATACAAATCAAAACCACAGAGAGATACCACCTCACAACTCTTAGAATGGCTAAAATTAACAAGTCAGGAAACAACAGATATTGGCAAGGATGCAGAAAAAGGGGAACCCTCCAAAACTTCTGGTGGGAATGCAAGCTGGTACAGCCACTCTGGAAAACAGTATGGAAGTTCCTCAAAAAGTTGAAAATAGAGCTACCCTATGACCCAGGAATTCCACTACTGGGTATTTACTGCAAAGGTACAAATGAGTGATCTGAAGGGGCACCTAGACCCCACTGTTTATAACAGCAATGTCCACAATAGCCAAACTAGGGAAAGAGCCCAGATGTCCATCGACAGATGAATGGATAATGGTGTTGTGGTATATATATATACAATGGAATATTATGCAGCCTTCAAAAAATTGAAATCTTGCCATTTGCAATGACATGGATGGAACTAGAGTGTATTATGCTAAGCAAAATAAGTCAATCAGAGAAAGACAACTATCATATGATCTCACTGATATGTGGAATTTAAGAAACAAAACAGAGGATTATAGGGAAAGTTAAGAAAACATAAATAAAACAAAACCAGAAAGAGACAAACCATAATAGTCTCTTAATCATAGGAAACAAACTGAGGGTTGCTGGAGTGGAGGGGGGTGAAGGGATGAGGTAACTGGTGATGGACATTAAGGAGGGCATGTGATGTAATGAGCACTGGGTAGTATATAAGACTGATGAATCACAGTTCTCTGCCTTTAAAACCAATAATACATTACATGTTCATTAATTGAATTTAAATAAAAAAATGTTAAAAAAAAATAGTGTCGTATACTCCACCAACCGAGCCAGCCAGGTGCCCCATGAAGGTTATTTTAATGAATTAGTGAATACTTTTCATTTCTCTTTTTAAGCATTAGAGTGGAATCTAGTAATCTAGTCCCCCTATAGCAGTTACCTCCTGTCTGTCCCTCCAGACAAACCCATCCCATTCCTTCTGTGGGGTGGAAGTGGGAAGTAGAAAGGCCTGACAGCCTCCAGTGTTCTCTGGCTGCAAGGGTTCAGCCCGTGGGGAGCCTCAGCTAAGATCTCAGGAAGGGACTAAAGTGGTCACAGTGTTTATTTCCATGAAAACCTTATTTGTGAGCTTTCCTCAGTTATTGTGTCCCTCAGCTGCTGGTCCCTCCTCCTCATTCTCCCTCCCTTGTCCCTTAGGGCTGGCGGTGGTGGGGGTGCTGGAGACAGTGGGGGAGGGTGAAAAGGGTTGGGGGGGATGCGTGACAAAAGCTCTGTTGCTGCTGCTTATGCCAGGCTCCTGCACCAGCCTCCTCTTCTCCATATGCTCCAGGCACACCTTGGTAATTAGTTCTTTTATAAAGAAACCCCACCAATGATCCTGCTCTAAGTAGGCCAGCTCCGGAGCCCATACTTCCATAACGTCCGCAGAAAGCACAAGTGCACGCTTCTCTGACCTGTGTTTATCCTGCCATTTACCCAATCTATTGTGCCCTCTAATTCAACCATTATATTTTTATATGCAATATTTTGACTTGGTTCTTCTCTGTGGTTTGTCTTGGGTATTATTGCTAACAATATTGTCCTATATCCAGAAGGATATTTATTGTGTTTATTAATTATCTGGAGTCAGTCTCTTCCAATAATTCTATTTCAAATAATATGTAACGTTCAGTCTGTTGTATTTCTTATGTGGCAATCATACTTCACAGGTGTATAATTATTTTTGCATGTGCGCTCATATTCCCCAGGGGTTAGCAGCTACTCTGTCACTGTTTGGTACCATGCACTGGCAAAGGACAGACGTCCTGCTGAGTTCAAGGAGAAGCGAGGGTGATCCCAAAGCAGAGGGCCCCAGGCACCAAAAAGCCACTCTTAACCTCTCCTCCATACTGCCACCTGCCAGGCAACTCCTACAGCCAGGGCTTCAACTTTAAAGCCCTTAGAAGAAATAGCAGAGGAAGGACCAAGTCTCCCCAGGTAGTGCTCCCCCTGCATGGGGGTGGGGGTGGGGGGGTATAGAAGTAAGGGCATGGAGGGCACGTACTCAAGGTGGCTGTGTGGACCTACACACTAGCTGACATGGCCACACTGCAGCCTCCTGGCACCTGAGAAATATTAGGCAGCATTTGTCACAGGGTATGGGATGGGAAAAGAGCAGAACGTGTAAAAAGCCTTCTTCAAGCCCATCCTCTCATTGGCCTACCCTCGTCCCCCAGCTACAGGCCACTTCAGGATCACCTTTAGTTTCTCCTTTAGTTTGGGAGCTCCTGAGGGCAGGGCTGGTGAAACCCATTGCAGTGGCACTTGGCACTCTTAGCCTGTCCCCCAGCTGCAGACTCAGTGGCCCTGCAGACCTGCTCTGCGCCCTGACATCAGGGATCTTTCCTTGCCACTGACCAGGGCCACATTTGGGACAGTCAGCCCAAGCCTCTCATCATACTTCTCACAGGTAGCCTGAGAAAGGAAGTCACACAGGGCCTTGAGGTGCCTGAGAATGGCCTGCATTAGAGGGAAGACCTCTGAGCTCCTTGAAGAGATCTCGGTTAGAATTTCTGGTCTGCTATTTACTACCCACATGACCTCAGACCTAGGCCTCAGGGCCAGATCCGTAAAAACAGATCAAACCTGGATAGTAATACTGAGCGTTGAAGCTGGCGGCGGGTAACAGGGAAATACGCTGTGGTGGAGCTGTGATTTGGCAGATCTGCAGAGTGGACTGGAAATGAATTTGCATCTGTGAGTTAGGGGGCCCAAGACACTTCATGGAAGAGCAAGTAGTCACACCATTCCATGCTTCACACAGAAGCGTAGCTATCAATGGACAAAACAGTAGTCTCTATTTGAGAGAAATCCAACACCATCACCATGAGTTGAGGAAAGTGGCAGGTGGCTAACGCTCCAAATCTGAACTAAGTGCTGACTCCCACCTCAGGGCCCAGCAACTCGGCCATGGAGCCCCATACTGAGTTTATTAACAGGGAAGGGATGGTTTTTTCTCACTTCCAGATACTGCTAAGCTGGGAAGGAAAACTCTGCATGAGTAGCAGAGGGCTTAAAGGCAACAAGATTCTGGTGACCATGTGCATGTGACTTGACCTGTTCTCACCTGCTGGTGAGAGTCTAGGCTGTTTGAGGGACAAGAATGGAAAGAATTTGCATAGAACACCTGATGGCACTTTGGATATAGTGGGCCTGCAATGGTGGGGGCCTGCTCCCAGATCAGCAAGTATTCAGGTTGGGGGCCTGTGGTTGTGAGACCCTTCTGAGCATTTTGCTAATTAGTTCAGATTCTGTGACCCAGACATGTTTATAGGCGGCAGCTCAGGACATGGCTTTGGCTCAGTGCTGGCCCAGCAAGTCCAGGGTCAGCCAAACCACAAACTATGTCAAATCTCCAGGGGGTGGTGCCCTGGGCCTTGAGAGACTGGGGAAAGACAGAGCTGCGGGTAGTAGGGGAATAGACTGAGAGCTAACCCTGGAGTAAAGCTCTGAGGGCAGGTAACCTGAGACTTTAGACCTTAGCCTTGTGGCCAGGGCCCTTCACGGTCTACTTCAAACAGAGTCTTTCCAACAGAGCCTATGTGACCTGTGGGCCTGGAATATCCTTCTTCATGCCCAGCTCATGGCAAATCATCCACCTCTAGGAGGACCCGTCCCCACTAGTTCTCCGTGGGACCTAGAGCATGCCAATTCCTCCATGAGGTGAGACTCTGGCCTCTAAGCCATGATAACTCTTCTGGAAGACTCCCCAAGGCTAGTGGCTCAGCTCTGGATGGCCAGCAAGCCCCTGAGTGTCCCTCTCTTCCCCACCCTTATTCCAGGGAGGAGGGAGATCTTCCTGTGCTGAGGAGCTTGAAGAACAATAGCGTGGGGGTGGATGGTAGTTCTGACAGGTCCGAAACAGGGGCGGGAAACTCCTTTAATTATTTTTCTTTTGTCAGGCCTGCAGCAGACCTCATATGGACAGGAGAGCTCAGAGATGGACACAGTTAAGAAGAATGCAGAGCGCATTGGTACTAACACAGACAAGCTTGTGGGGGGTGGGCCAGGAGGGGCACCATGGGGTCTGTCACAGAGTCCTTAGGGAAATCAGCAGCAGGAGGAGGGTCTGTGAAAACACAAGGGTCATGCAGGTGCTGGGCTTGTGGACGGTGCCCAGAGAAGTGAAGTCACTCAAAATAGGAGGTTTTTCCTGAGGAGGAGCAAAAGAAGGTTCGGGATTGGGCGAGGTCCTCTGCTTCTCATTGATCCAGCTGGAGAAGTAGGTGAGCCTGGTGAAGACGCTGGGGCTTATGGGGTAGCGGCAGGCCAGGCTCCAGCTAGACAGCCCCATCAGAAACCAAGTACTACTGTTCAGCTTGCAGACCAGGGGGCCCCCGGAATCTCCCTGAGGAAAAAGGCAGTGTGAGTTGTGGGAACTAAGATAGAGGGGGACACATATGTTTTAGACAGGGTGAAGACAGTGCCCTTGTCCTCCACCAGAGTGGAATTTAGGAAGCCTTGTGTCATGTGGGCTGTGAGTGGTTCTCATCAGAATCACCTGAAGCATTTGAAAAGTCCAGACACAGGGTCCCACTGCAGACCTCTTCGATCAAAATCTCAAGGGTAGGCTCTGGAGCTCAACTCACAAAGCTCTGGAGGGACCCTAGGCTGACAGTCACAGGCCTATGAGAATGTACAGGGGGGCTCCAGGTGTTGGATGCCAGCCCTTTGTGCTCTCAGCTCTATGGGAGAGAAGGTAGCACCCGAAGTCCCATGGGGCCTGCAGGCCTCTGGCTGAATCCGCAGCCCAGGACTGCATCCCACCTGAGCCTTTGTTTTTGGACTTATTAAGGTCTCTAGTTTTCCCTCTAATTCTTTGCTGGGCTTCTTGAGAAAATGCAATCTGTGAGATGTGTCCGAGGAAAAGAAGTGATGCCTGAGCCTGGACTGGTAGGGTGGTCAGAATGGCAGGGTGCCCAAGGGGTCCCAGAAGAATGCTGGGGACTCGGAGCTCAGGACTCCAAGGCAGGAAGGCACCTGCCACCATGGGGCATAATGCTTCCATGTCATGGTCTAAGAAGTAGGGACCAAGGAAACACAGCATCCTTCCAGCCTTCTGTTGCATAAACATGACCGAGTCCTCTCTGCATGCAGGAGACACGGAAGTGACGTGGAAAATGAAGACAGACAGTAGATCACACACATCTGCAGATGCAAGATGTGGAACAGAGGTGCCAGGGGGTGGTGAGTGGCAAGACGGGCTGCCCTACCTGGGCCATCAGAGAGCCTCTGAGCCAAGGTGGGAGGGATGCGCAAGGCTTGACCAGGAAGATCCGGTCACAGGTAGCTTGGAATAGGTGAGGCCAAGGAGCGACAGGGCCAGGTCCCAGTCCCCTGTCAGCTGGGAGGGTCGGGGTGATGAGACACTGAAGGACACTCAGCAGGGAAGTAATGGGCCCTGGTCCAGATTCTAGAAGAATAGTAGGATGTTCTGGGGCTGGGTGAAGCACAGCCAGTGGTAGGGCAGAAATCAGCACAGGGAGCCCAGTCAAGACACTACTTCGAGCAGAGAGAGTATAACAAAGACAAGAGAGAAAGGCTGAGGCACAGGATTTGGCATATCTGGCCCTTTCCCTCCATCTAAGGTAAAAATGGAGCAAGGCAAGAAAAGCAGGATAGGGCGGAGTGGTGGGTCCTTTGTGTGCGGAGGTCAGAAAGAGGTCGAAGAGAGCAGGTGACAGAGGAGGGCCTGCCCTCCGAGTGTGATGGGAGATGTTGCAGGTGCATGGCTGAGCACCAGGTGAGAGGAGGTCAGAGGTGAGACCTAGGCATCTGGCTATCTTGATGGGAGCACTGTGGAGAAAGGGCAAGCACAAAACCTGATGGGACGGGCTGAGGCAAGAAAGAGAAGGGAGCAAGCTGGAGAGGGCCTGTGCAGACGCCACCGGGGTGAGCCCTGCTGGGAAGGCAGGCTGAGAATCAGGGCCCAGGGCAGGGGTTTGGGGAGGAGAGAAGGTGCATGTAGGGTGTTTGAAGATGGGAATCACAACAGTATGTTTCTGAGCTGGTGGATGATGGCCAAGGAGAGAGACAAAAGCTAGCAAGAAGGAGCAGGAGAGGGAGGGGGGCTATAGGAGGAAGCCTGTGGGGGCCACAGCTCCAGAGGAAGGCATTGGTGTTCTAGGTTTGACTGTCATGCTACCTCACCTTGGGCTATCCACTTCTCTCTGTGTCTCAGTTTCCCCACCATAAAAGAGAGGATTCCACAGAGTAGTAGACATTCTTAACACGTATGTCCAATAACATACTCATGGCTTATTCAGTAAGAAAGGCTCACGACCCCATAGAAACAATGACAAAAACCATGAATAGACACTCTTTAAAAGAGGCAATATATATATGAAAAAGTGCTTATCTCCATTATTCATCAGAGAAATAAAATTAAAAATCACATGCAATCGTTAAATTGAAAATGGCAGGCAACATGAAGTACTGGAGACAACACGGAGCAACGACAACTCTCAGCCACTGCTGGTGGGAGTGCAAACTGGTATCAAGCAGGTTAGAAAGCTGCTCTCCAGCACCTATGAGAGACGAAGCTTGCATACCTCATGGCACAGTAATTCTACTCCCAGGGTTATACCGCACCCAAATGTGAACCCATGGGCACTGACACATATGCGCTAGGATGTTCATAGCAAATCTATCTGCAATGGTCTCAGGTGGAAACTATCCAAATGCCACCAAGACTAGAAAGGATAGATAAAGAGATAGTATGTTCACACAGTGGGTTACCATATAGCAGTAAACCAACGATGTAAACTACACCTAAGATGGATAAATCTTGCAAACATAACCTTGCCTGGAGGAGACCAGGTGAAAATGCATCCTATCTCATTCCCTGTATGTAAGTCTCAACACGAATCTTCAGCAGCTTCAGAAGCCAGAGCTACTCTCAGGGAGTTAGTGACAGGAAGGCGGTATGAGGAAGACTCTTCGGGTGCTGGTTACATGAGTGTGCCAATTTCTAAAACTACATCGTACAGCACATTTGTGAATTATGCCCTTTTCTGCGTATGCTATGCTTCAACAGTGTTTTTTTAAAGAAGACAGGTATGGTATTAACTAGCACCCTTTGGGGACTTCTGAGCTTCAGCTCTGACACTTGAGGCTGGGCTGGGCTTAGGAGGAGGAAGTCGGGGGCTGGGGCAGGGTTCAGAGAAGACAGACGGGGGCAGACCCCACAGGAGAAGAGGGGCAGCCTGAGCTCCCACGGGACACCTGGAGCCCATGTCACTTACTCGGCAGATGGACTTTCCTGTCATGAGGTCCCCGGCACAAAACATATCCTCGTGTATAGAATATTCACTGCTGCTGGAGTCTGGCGATTGGAAATACATTTTACAGACCTCACTGTCAACAATGCCAACCTCTCCTTCCTGCAGCTGCAATGGTGAGGCCAGGAAATCTGCAGGGGGGTGGGGGAGAGGTCAGATGTGGGGTGGAGCCTGGGAGGGAGGCTCGCTCCCTCTCCCCTCTGCTGGCTCATGGACATGCTGCCGATTCTAGCTGACAGGATTGGGGTGTCTCTCAGAGGACTTGCAAAGATGAGGGGACAAGACGTGCAGGACGGACAGGAGCGCAAAGGTGAGGGGCCTGCAGCAGGAAGGGCCGGAGGGGAGGTCTACTTGGCTGCATGAGGTGAGAGTGGGGGTTGTACGAGGTGAGGACAGGTCATAGCAGGGTCCAGAGCAAGCAGGGCCTCCTCACCAGGCCGGGCAGTTCAGATTTCATGCTAAGCACACTGGGAAACCACTGAAGGGTCTCCTTACATTTTGAAAACAATGACGGGGCACCTCTGCAGAGATAGAAGTAGAAGCACAGAGGGTGGAAGCGGGGAGCCCAGGCTGGGTGGCACCGATGTGCCCGCGAGATGCCAGGTGGGCTGAGGGAGTCTGACCGAGAAGACATGGCCCAGCCTCAAGCAGCAGCTGGTCTGGGGAGGCTCCCCATGTGGCCTCTGTGTCCACACATGGCTCCCAGGGCTGACTGGTGTTTGCATGTGGCAGCACAGTGGCACGTGGACAGCTCCCCCCCAGGCAGCGCTGCTCATGTGCAGCTCTCGGGGGTCCCCGGGGGCAGCCCCGGTCCCGCAGCTGTGGTCAGGGGAGGGCATGGAGGAAGCTGCAGAGCTGCAGGCTCCGTCGGCTCCGTTTCTCCTGCTCTGGCCTGTGCCTTCCCCTCCTGCCCCAAGTCCTGGCCTCCGACTGTCTTGCAGAACCCTCCTGGCTCTGCCCGTGGTCCTTACGGAGCCATAGTCCATCCCAGGAGGCTGTTTCTGGAAGTGCTAGAGAGCTGGCGGTTCTCATGACCAGAGACTGTGCCTGACAGTTAGGGGCCAGGGGCTCAGCCCAGGAAGTCTTGCCCCCAGTGCCACCACTAAGATACTCCGCCAGATCATGGCAGACCTATGACCCTACAGGTCAGCCAAATGTACGTTCTAGTTTCTTCACTCAAAAGTATGTTTTCCTAAGACAAGAGTATTCACCATTGTGTCAAAAGACCCACCATTTCTCCTGTCTCAGCCTAAAAATATACCAGCCCAGCAAGCTGGCAAAATGGGCCAGTTTTACTTGAGGTAATGGATGAGGGGAAGTAAGAGTCACAGAGGAAAATGTTCTTAAGCTATCAACAGTCCAACTTCGCCTCCCAGGCTGGGAAACAGGCCTGCTTTTATTTCCTTCCTGCTGCCCCATGTACCTTCCATGGCAGGGGAAGTCCAAGAGGTGTTTGATGAAGCCTTGGAGGGGCCTGACATGGTCCCAAGCAGTACCTCAGAGTCAGGGTGGAATCCTGAATGGCTTGGATTCCAAGGACCCAAGTTCCTGATTCTGAAAGTTAGCAATGCTCAGACTTTTTGATCCATGGGCAGAAAGAAACTTGAATCTTGAGACGGACATGGTTTCCAGGCTGGAAGGGCGCTACAATGGGCATCACACCTCCCTCCTCCTTAGTCCTTGCCCTCCCGGCCTGCCCCACCCCTACTCACCATCCTCGGTGATCATCCCCCAGCCAGTGATCCAGCAGCTGCTGTGAATGGGCAGCTTCGTGGTTGGCCCTGGGAGGCAGGCGGGGAGAATGTGGGAAGTAAAGTTCACAGACAGATGCAGTTGCAACAGGGCAATGTCGCTGCCCATGAAGTAGCGCTTGTTAAATTCACTGTGAACAATGAGTTGATACACTGTCATCTGCCGGCTATGCTCAGTGGGATGTTGGAGCTGATGGTACCCGAGCAGGATCCGGTAGTCAGATGGTTCATGGGACCTGTCATGAGATGCTGCATTGTCACCTGTCTCCTCTGTGGGCTGAGCCAGCACCCTCGCATCCTCACCTGACTGTCTACCCTCAACTCCCCCCACTCTCCTAAGCAACCAGACACCACCATTATTCCAGACGTTGCTCTCTCCTCCCTTCCTAATATTCTTGTCAGTTGGGTTGGATGCCTGTCTGTAGCCTCAGGACATCTGTCCTGTGAAACTGTCTGATGGCTTCCCCAGTATGCCCCCAAATCAAAGGAGCAGAGAATCTCAGTGCTGGAAAGAAATAGCGGAGTACTTCAAACTATACTCCTTTGTTTTAGAGGAGAGAAGACTTGGCTCATTCCCAGCTCTGACCAGAAACATTGGACTGTTCCATGGCTTGAAGTAGTTCTCAAAGACCCCATTTCCCAGCCCAGAATGATCCATTCCCTCTTCCCAGTCTTCACACACACACACTTCTCCAAGACTGGTCCCCATCTGGAGATAGGCACTCATTGAGTCTGTGTGGAGCAAATAGGGGAATGCATGTAACTGAACTTCTCGTTTCTGGAACATGAGCAACTTTCCCACACAAATGGCCTGCTTGTGCTGCTACTTTGCCCAGATTCCACATGCCTGTACTCTTCTCCCACAAGGCCTTGCTAGCTCCAAGCCCCTCTTATGGGATGCATGGCATCTTTCCTGACACTAGCTCAGAATCCATTCTCTTGCATATTCTGGCCTCTCCATCCTGCATCACAGTAGTTGGGTTTATGTCTCACTTTCCTGATAGTATGAGAAGCTTCAAGGTTTGCATCTCCACATCCTCCACAGTGGGCCTCATATGGGGCCTGGCACTTGTGGGTGCTGAACAAATGAATAGAACCCAAGTGGGGTCTCAAAGCCAGTTGATGCCAATGGCTCGATCTCCTCTGACTTGGAGTGTGATGTTCTCCCCACTCCGTCTGGACACAGAGGAAGTTCAGGATACACCTGAGGAGCAGCCTATTTGCATCCCGTCTCCCAGGACAGAAACCATTTGCTTCATGCCTCACTCTGGCCTATAGGGACAATGATGACCACAGGATCTCTTAGGCACATAGTTGCACAGCAGTGACAGGAATTTCTGGGTGCTGGTTAAACAGGCTGTGTCCTGGGATGCCTCCAAAGAGAAATGTGCTAGAATGTGCAGGTGGTTAGGACCCAGGGAAGTCTCTGGCAGTTGTGCTCATGATGACCTCTGAACAGCCTGACTGGAAGAGTACAAAATAATTGTCCATTTTGTCCAGGCCCTGACTGATGCTCCCCCAGCCCTGGGAAGTGGGGTCCCTGAAAATATTGCTCTGACTTAAAGCCTAAAGCCTGTGCCATATGTTCAGCCAGGGAAACTACACATCTACTACCATTTGCATAAGAGGAAACTGAAACCCCCTGAGATCTTGTTGGACTGTCTAGAGCTGGGCAGGATGCAGAAACCAGAGTCTACCTTGAGTGAGAACAGGACTTAGAATCCTAAAGTTTAAGGAAGACAAAGAGTGGGCTGGAGGCAATTCTTTTGGAACTAAAGTGTTTTCCAGTATTTGCTGATAATCACAATTAGAGTTAATTTCCATTTAACTATTTAAAAGTAATGTACATGTAGCTGAGATTACCATGCCATCTTGGTATTACCAAAGTGTGAGGAGGGGGACAGATGGGGATATCCCCAGAGGAAAAGATGAGGTAAATGGCCTTTGTCCTGGGGGATGTGAACTCAGACAGTCAGGAGACTGGAGTCAGGTGGTGAGTAGGCATGGCATTCCAGGTAGAGGGGACTGCTGAGTCAAAGGCAGGGGCAAGTCTTTCCCTAAGGAAAAAGGGCTGGGACACTCTTCAACCCCTTCTGCTCTGTCCATCTTATGACTCCCTCCCCAGTCCCACCCCAGCAGCTGGGCCCATTGGGAACACGTACTTTTGGAAGCAGTGGGCAGCTGAGATCACCCAATAGGCATCTATGAGGGCAGCTCCGCAGATGTGCTTGCCAAGGTAGAGCAGGCTGGCCTGCCATGGCCACCGTTGGTCAGGTGCGTTCTGGCCACCAAAGATCTTCCCACTTACTGCTGGCTTCCCACACACTGTGGAGACAATCCTACCCATGAAGCACCTGTATTATGGATGCCAGCCTTGGTGTCTCCAAATGTCAGCATCAACAGGCCCAGGGCCACCATGGACCCTCCTCACTTTCCAGCTGGAAAATCCAAGGCCCAGGGTGAAGTGAGACTGCTCATGTAATAAATGTCCACTTGGCATTGCTGGTGATGGTAGTGCTAAGGAAGCAGTCTTTGGGTCTGAGTAAGAAGAGGGAGTGGTCATCGAAGGGGAGGGAAGCAGGCAGCTGCAGAGGTGCACATCCACACTCACTGGGGTGCAGAGGTCCCAGAGGTGGTGCTGCCCCAGGCACTTCCTCAGACCTTATTTAACTTAACTAGCACACCACTGTTTGAAGTCCCCAAAACTGAGGACTTCTGAGGGGATGCTATTTGTTCAGGGTTATAGATGATTAAGTGGTTGCACCCCCCTCCACCAGCCTAATATTCTAGGGAAACTGAGGCCACATGGAACACATTCTGCTTGATAATTCTCCTGCTGAAGCACTGCATCCCCATTCTTAAAATGAAGAGGGTGTGGGGGCCCACAAAGACAGGCCAGACCTCCGTCCTTGAACTGAAGATGCTTGAGACCCAGTGGGAAAGAACCTGGTCTCCTAGGCCTCGCCCTTCCTGACCCAAGTAGGGACCCACCAGGGACCCAGAGACTCAAGAGCCCCACTTGGCTAGGTAGAAGACCTCCTGGCTGGTGGGGTTTGGGGGGGCCCTTGAGAGGTGGGCGAACCTGATGCCCCTCGCCCACTCATTCACCATCTGCGGTGGTTCCGTTGGGCTCAGCATGCAGCAGCAGTGGACGCAGCCAGAGCAGGGCTGTGGCCAGCACACAGGCCCCCTGCCAGCCTGGGCCTGAGCCCTTGGCCTGGGCGTTTGCCATCCGGTCAGTCCACGTCAGCCTCCCGGATGAGTGGTCGGCTCGGCGCGAGGCTGCGGGGGCCGCCGGGAAACCGCCTCCTCCGTAGGGAGCGTCCCCCTCCCAGCCCGCTCTAAGGCCTGCTTGAATAGCCAGAGAAGGCAGTGGACCGCATGTGCCTGGAACCCCGAGGCCCCAGGCTGATGGGGGAAGCAGAGGGCACATAGGGTCTTCTGCCCAGGGACCCCAGTTTGATAGCAGAGACATCAGGACAGTTACGGTGTATGCCCAGGAATAGGCACTAATGGTCAGAGGCTAGGTGCTTCTATAATGTCACCAAATATTTCCAACTAGCTTTCAAGATCCAAAGCACTCATTTCTGCCCCCTCCCCCCATTCACATAATTAGGTCAGACCCACTATGGATAATATCCCTTACTTAAACTCACTGGTGCAAAGCAGCATGGCATAATCATGGGTGGATATTTCATCAGGAGGGCATTATGCAAGGGAGTGGGTTGTATGAGGAGTCCAACCTCTGACTGCTAACCACTCATGTTATTCCCAAATGCAAAATCATTCACTATATCCCAACAACTCCAAGGGCCTCATCCCATTACAGTATCAACCCAAAGTTCAGAGTCTCATCTGTTAAAGGAGGTCACTAAGAGGACTTGACCGTTGGTTGATCTTACAGCTGGACCCAGGCAATTGGAGGCTCTGCGCTCTCTCTCCTGGCCTTGGAATGTATGCTCTGCCTACCAAGTGGGAGCTGCTTCAAGGACACAGCCTTGAGAGAGTAAGGTGTTGTTGAGACCATCTGGACTAAGATATATGACTGAGTCCAGTAAAGGCTTCTTCTTCTTCTTCTTTTTTTTTTTTTTAAGATTTTATTTATTTTTTTGACAGAGAGAGAGAGACCTCAAGCAGGAGGAGTGGCAGGTAGAGGGAGAGGGAGGAACAGGCCCTCCGCTGAGCAGGGAGCCCAATGTGGGGTTTGATCTCAGGACCCTGGGATCATGACTTGAGCCAAAGGCAGACGCTTAACTGACTGAGCCTCCCAGGCGCCCCCCAGTAAAGGCTTCTATATAAACTTTAAGATCATGGCCTGCCAGGGTAGAGATCCAGTCATCTTGTGATTCCCCCAAGACAAGCCTCATACCTAAGTTCCCTTGCGAATTAAACCTGCCATCTACCAATCTGCAGCAGCCTACCTCTTGTTATAGTCTCTCCTTGCCCTCCGTGTCCAGGATCTTGTCTGTGAGCCAACCTCATCTCAATGTAAACATCAGTATCTCCTCAGCTCAAAGTCCAAAATCTCATTATTGAAATCCTCTAAGTTAGGTGAGGATGAGGTTCCAAGCTTTAATTCATTAAATAAAGTTCGTAACCACGGTTCTTCCTCCATTTGTGGACCTAGAAAACTAAAGAAACTACCAACCCAACATTCCCAACATACAATGGTGGGACAGGCTGAGGATAACAATCACAGACATTGCCATTCAAAGAGGGAGGAGGAGGGGAGATGGAAAGTAAAAAGGAGTTACTTGTCCATCCATAAGTTTATATATCCTACTGGGCAAGGTCTCAAGCCCTTAGGAAAAAATCCTCTGACTCTTGGCTCTGCCCTTTGGACTCTTGGTCATCCTTCCTTTTTTTAATTATTTTTTAATTTTAAATACTTGTTTCTTTTATACTCTCTGAACTGTTTTGTTTTTCTTTCCCTCTTCTTTACCTTTTCTTGCCCTCTAATATTTCCTTAAACTTAACAGGAAATCTTCAAAATCTATAAAAGAATGTTTGTAGTGCTTTAGAGATTTACCTGAATGAAGTTCTAAATTTTTCTGTTATGAGACATGTATTCCTTAATTGATAATTTCATGAATTATAGCTGCAATCTCAATGACTATATTTTAAAGAAGCATGTTAAAATACTGTTCTAAATTCATTTGA